CCACCTAAGGCACTCAGGAAAATCTTAAGTACCTGCAGATACCTATTAAGTATTCTTGGGTGAGATGGTTTAGTGTGAGGTTTCCCTGCCCATGGCAGGGGGGTTGGAACTGAATGATCTTAAGGTCCTTTCCAACCCTAACTATTCTATGATTCTAAATGATTCTTTAGATTATGGTCAAGAATGGAACAAAACTGCAGAGTGAAATGAGCAACAAATCCTGTACTGAAATATCCTCCCACTGTTCAAGTTAAGGGGAGGTTTGGAGAAGTATTAGCTTCAGCTTAATAGTAAAAACAAGCTTATGGAAAAGGAAAAAACAAAACAAGTTTATTTCAATTTTAAGCAATATTACAGTATTTTTCAACGTCTGTAATATGTGAATGAAAATATTCAACAATAAAGTCACTGGCTACTGATCCTCAGTCACTGAACAATTTAAATTTACAAAGAGATGATCTCATATAGGGTGTCCTGACGATGAATGTCAGTTAATGATAGAAAAAAGTCCCTAAAGAGTTCATTATCATCCATTTTAATACCAAAATTTTAGTTGAGCTATCCTTTAATGCCCATAACATTTACTTCAGAAATAAAATATACTTAAGCTTTTGCAAAAGAACTTGCATATGTACGTATGTATACACAAAAGATTTTTGCACAATATATGTTAATTGAATAAATATTAAGTCACTAGTGTAGACTATCAACGCAATTGGAATTTTCATTATGTAACTCTCCAGTGTCACATTTATTCATGCAGTGCCTTTAGAAAAAAAAAAAAAGAAAAAAAAAAGTATTGATTTAAGTAGTTCTAAAACTAAGATTCTTTATGGTCAACTTTAGCTTGTCATGTTTAAGCCAAAGTTATTTCCCTCAGATGTTTTTAGTACATAACTGCCTGTATGTGTAAGCATTAGAGGTATTTTTGAGAAGATGTGAGAAAGTCAGATTGTATCATTATTGTGATTACTTGAATAATTAAGTCAAGTTACATTACATAAATATTTGCCCCTGCTCATTCTTAGTGTAGAAATGGAACAAAATACTCCAAAATCTGTGTGAAGGTATGAACAACACAAAATAAGATTTAATGAAATAACAATCTATAGAAAATAGATTGCATTGTGCTATTTATTCTTCCCTTTCCATAAGCACAGACCAGATCCAGTGGCAAGTTCCTTCCAGGCAGTCTCTTATGCACTGTCCATCCAACTCAGACACCAGGGATTGCTGTAGGTGTGCATACCACATAGTTTCCTCCACAGCATAATCTTTACTGTTGAAAAAGAGATGTACATCTTTCTGCTCTAGACCTATACACCAGTAGGGTGAGCTGCAATAAAATAAATGAGCATACTATATTAATGTAGGCTCTAGCTTCAATTGAAGTTCAAATACTACACAGTTTATGCTTGGCCTAGGAGGCATTTTAAGACAAAAAGAACGTCGAGTTAAAACAGAGAAATAAGATTGAAAGAAACATTGCACACTGCACACAGCTGGCTGTCAAATGAAGCAAGGAGAAGACCAACTTTTCCCTCCTGACACAGTCTGTGCTTTGTAGACACTGGCAAATCCCCAGAGATCACAACTGCTCCCAGAAAGGACAGAAAACCTTCTAGAAAGACTTTTTCCCACACCCCCTTGTGTAGCTAATTTACAACAACTGGTTGAGCTAGTGCTTACTCCCAAAGTCACAGGATCGCTACAGGTGAGTCTACTACCACTGGCATAACAGAACAACTTCATGCTATTGCACTGCATGGCTGCTTTGAAACCCTAGTCTAGAGAAGAACAAGTGGAACAAGTAACTTGAGTCTCAACTTAAAACGAAGCCATACCCTGAGCACCAGTTATGAGAAAAATTACAGAGGACCTCATACAAGTATAAGGAAAGTTCTGCTCTAGCATCCAGTTAGAAGCATGTAAAAGCATCACACTAATGGGTCAGAGCAGAAAATAAAGGTTCCCCAGTGCCAATGCAAACTTCTTCATAATGCTGCCTGTAAGAGGATGAAATTTAGTTTTAGTGCAAAGGTACTTTTGCCTTCCATCTTATTTCAACATGGACTTTAGTTTTCGTACAAAAACTTCGATAAAGGAGTGGAAAATATTAGTCACAGAACTTGGACAATACACGCAAGTTTTCAGTGAAGTAAAACACAGCTTTTTTTCATTACAGCTGATCAGCAGAGATGTCGAGATAATGTCAGAGCAAACAACCTCTATCAGTGGAGCATCAGAGTCCAACCAAACTTTTTTGATAGAAACCACAGCCACTGTTTGCCCATAGTATGTATAAGAAAGGAGTCAGGCATTAACATGAGCAGTATAGACACAGCCAAAGGGTAGTAAGATCTTCTACATGAAAAGAAAATAATAAAGGAAAAGAACAGGTCAACAAATTTGGAAAACTATTCCTACAAATGCAACTACTAAATGAAAATTTTTAACCAGGGGAAACAATCCAGGAAGGGTTACTGTAAGTATATTGCCTTTTACTTTGAAATATTAACAGAAATATATAGCATAGGCAGGGAAAGACTACTTTTTCTCTTGGCATATTCTCTCACCACAGCAAAGGCATTAATTTTAGAAATGTTTCTGATGTATAAACAACTTTATCCCTATTTATAGATGAATATTTTGTGTAATACCCTTAGTACAAACTAAGCTAAGTGACATTGCAGAAGGCAATTAATTAGAATTTTCATACAGAGGTTTCTCTCTGAAGGCTCTGCTGAAACCTACACTGCCTTCCAAAAACTGTGAAATTAAGGATTTTGCACATTCACTGACATAATATAAAGATGTTGAAAAAGACCAAAATGTGTGTTGTAGTCTGAAAAACAAAGAGATCTAGTTCTTGGATCTATCAAAGCAGTTTTCCTAATATATTTCTGATCTAAAATATAATCAGAGTTAAATAGTCATTTCCAGATCAGTATTGCTTATATCGTTTACAGACAGGATTTATTTATTACCAGATAGGCTTATATTTCTTCTGTGAAAGAGCAGTAACCATGTGACTTAGTTGTGGATTACAATACCTGCAGGAAGCACAGTTCATACACATAAAAGTACTTGCAGCCTTGTGTCAAGAAAGACTTATAACGAGCAAACAAAAAAGTACTACATGTTATTTATATCAGATGAAAAGAGCTTCAAAACATGATCCAAATCTAGTTAGATGAACATTACAAAGCTGTATTAAGTAAAGATGTAAATGGGCAGCCGTCTACAATAGAAGATGAGACAATAATACTGGTAATGTCACAGGCTCCACTTGTGAAGATCAGCCAGTTCCAAACTGACATAAGTTGCTCAAGAGCATGTAGTAGCTTTGTGTACTATTCCTGCCTTATTTTAAGACTAAGACTATTGCCAGCAAAAGCAAGCAACATTTAGACTAATGGAGCACAGACTATAGTTCAGAGGAAAGAAGGCGTTCCAAAGCAGCACTGAAAAAGATAAAATCAGCACATATTGTTTCTCAGTCTATTAGGAAATGTTTCTAATATAAAAAGAAGAAAGCCGCAAAGCCCTGAATATATGTTTGGCAAACATGTATACTCAACAATCCCTGGAGAATAGTATTTGTTTAAAGCTTTTAACTCAAAATGGTTCCTAAACACAATAACAAAATTACTGATTGACACTGAATTTTGCTTGAAGTAACTGAACTAGATGACTTAATATTGCTTAATCTTATATTCATGGAGCATTTCTGTATAGTAGACAACCTACATAAGCTTCTTCAACTCTCAAAACTGCCACAAGGCTGCTCTTCATGCTTTTTATTCAAGTGAAGACTGCTGATTTCAACAAGAAAATACCCAAAATGGAGGGGATTGGGTAAAACAGTCTAAAATAAGGGGATAAGCAATAACCATATGCCAGACTTTTAGTATGTTATTGTAAATATACAATATTATGTAGTTTTAAAAGATTGTTTTCAGGAAGAGGGTGAGATGAGTAAATGTTAATGGAATGAAAAGGTAAGTGTAGAAGAAGTCATACAGAAAGCAAGCAGACAGCATAGTTAAGAGATCTTCACAAAAGTAGGAAACAGGCAACAGCCACTGGCGGTCTTACAGGGCTGCAGGGATCATGAGCAGCAGAGTTGAAGTTATTGATACCCTGGAGGAAATCTGTGGGGCAAAATGCAAAATTGGATATAGATGTCAGGGAAATAAGGAAAATAAGACTAAAGGTAAATGCTGTGATTTCACAGGTTCAGAATTCTGGGAGATACAGCCTTGTTCTACGTTTCAGTTTGAAGGAAAATTTGGGTTTAGGAGTAGTATGCGCAGACCTGAAAGAAACAGAGTTTAAATGAATTAAAACTATTGTTGCTTTTTCAGGCAGGTCTATACAAACCTCCTTACTGTTCTATGTAAACTTGGCAAATAATTTGGCATCACTTGAAAGCCAAAGGAGAAAAAATAAACATACTCGAGGTTGCAAGATGGGTTTTTTTTATATTTTGTTTTTCAAACAAACATTATTGACTGCCTCATTGCCAATAAGATATTACAGCAAGTGTTATAGTATTTTTTAATTGACTTTGAGATATTTGCTGGACAAATATCAGTGTTAATCTCAGACACTTAATTTACTCAGTATTGTTCAGTTCACATTGAATTCTGATCTCCAATTCAGGTCACCCTGAACTTTCAGGGAAAAGATGCCTGGTCTCTCTCTGCTTCAGGTCAGGTTCAAACTTGTAATCTCTTTCCAAAACTGGAGAAGCAAAGAGGGAGATACACCCATTGAACTACTTGATTATTATTTTTTTTTAACTATTTTTAAGGTTTTGCGCATTACAAAAAGATATTTTAGTCTAGTGCTTCAGCCATGACTCATAGATAAAGATCAGGCATATTATACTGCTAGAACTGGTTGCGCTGCTATATGGAGACTAAATTATAAGTGGAATATAAGACAGCCAGAACTGAGCCCAGCAGCTTTAAAACTCACATATTTTTCATGTTTAGGAGGATGAGTCCAAGTACTTGTTGGCTTTGCAAGGTATTCAGAGCAGAAGAAAATGGGATCAGTTCTAAGTAAGTACCAATGAGCTGTTTATGTTCTGCAGTATGTGCAGCTGAATAGGTCAGACAAAAATATCAAAATTCAGCGTGGAAGTTTACTTTGCAAGCTTGAAAACATGCAAGAAAGTGTAACATCTTTGCAACTACCCCTGGTGATCACCTTCATATATCCAATTCCTTTATAGCACAGGAAGTGCCAAGTGTCATTTCCCTAGTGGTAGAAAGGCACATCCCAGTGGAAACCTCTTTTATATTAAATAGGTATAAGCCTAAACTAATCCTTGGATTAAGTCCAGATTTGGGCCTGTGAAGAATCTGTAAAACAAGTATTTTGGGTCAATAGTTTAGGAGAATTCAGACTGTTGGCAAAGTTTGAAGATGTGGTGGATAAGGTTCCTCCTGCAAGTCCTTAGCTGCCACCAACCTCAGTGAAGGCCAATCATAGCTGGAACTTTTGGTCAGCGTGCCACATCAGGGCGATGAAATGCTTCCATCCAACATGCTGTGTCCTCCACAGCAATACCAAGGTGTGTCTGGTGACTCCCGAAACTGCTGTTTGAATGACGTGAAGTGGCAGAAATCCAGACAGCATAGCATTTCCAAAAGTGCCTCCTGAACTAGGACTTCTCTCCCGTGCAGTATCAGCCAGGAGAGCCCCTCACCCTGGAGAGGGTACAATAAATGAGCGATAGCTCCCACAAGACCCTACAACAGCCTTTGTTATATACATTTGGTTTACGTTTTCCCAATTTTAAATATTAAGTAAAAAATAGAAAGGTTTTTCTGTGTCAGCTGCCCCACCAAGCAGCACTCTTTCTGCTTCACAGACAAATAATCAGAAATAGAAATACAATGGCCCCGATGCTTAGTAAGACAGAAAAGATTGTCATTTATTCTGCATACAAGTGTTATTCCTGACAGAAATGAAAAAAACATTTGCATCAGTAACAGTGAATATGACTCAGAAGCAGCTCTTAAGGCAAAAATCATTCAAAGAAATAAAGATTCTCACTCCCAATAACAACATGCTTCAGGATTTTATATAGAGAAGAGGCCGATAGCCCATGAGAAGGAAAAAACAGTATCTTTTACTGGCAAGAGCTACTAGAGACTTATGGATACCAGAAACTGATAGTGGCAAAATTTCTCTTACAATATATTTCTCTGACCAGGTCATACCGATCAGGAAAGCCTGACAAAACAATCAGTGAGTCCCAGCATGTAGTCTTTCAGAGAAATACAGAATTTTATCAAATTAAAAATAAATGGGTGCTCACCAATTAAAAAAGCTACAAAGCTTCTAATGGCTGATGAGCAGCAGAAATCTATGAATCATCATGCAGCACTCACACCAAAGCCAGTTTTGCTTTGGACTAAAATTTTACAAAATGTTCTGTAATACTGAGCTGCTGTTGTCAAAACTGCAGCTCATATGAAAACAAAATACTCAATGAAGAGGGATATCCTCCCAGGTTTGTCTGACACATAATGGAAAGCACCCACTGGAATATATCCCTTGTGTTTTCTTCTACTAATATAAGCATAAGCATTTTTTCCAAGTTACCAGCATTGATGTCCTATAACTGCAACACTTAAAAATCAGCTGGTGTAAATGGAGTTACGTGCACTTAAATGGAGCTATTGGCAGTCAGACATTTGTTTTTCCTTAAATTGTTTAGTCTCTCACCTCACTACTTCCATACTCTTTCCCAGAATCAGGCAGGAGACTCCTACAAGCTTATGAAATTATTGCTTAAGAATAGCAAACATGAAACAAAGATATCTGATTTTAATCACCACCAAGAACTGTCTAGATTAGTAACAATGTGTCATACTATACTGTAAACAACTGGAGAGAAATGGAAGTCCCTTACAACTAAGGTTCTACTAACTTTTCATTATTTACCTTACGTTCAGAGCTTATATTCAGCTCTCAGCTGATCAGTCAATTTAGAAGTCAAAGACCTGTAAATATTACTATAAGATCTTGAGCCCTTTAAGGCTTTGCTACTAAACACAAACATCAACATTTCATAAAGTATATATAATGACTCCTGTCCCAAAGAAGCTCCCATCTAGAAATCTAGTACTTTCCTTGTGCTTCTCCTAAGCACAATTTAAATAAGCAAATGCCATATCTGGAAAAACTGCATGAGAGCACCTTGAGATGGAACTACATTTGTTACAGCAAAGAGAATATTTGATTGAGCATAATAAGCATAAGATCTAGGATGCTCAGAAAAACCATTCTAAATATAAGTTTTATATAGATCTTATTTAAACTCGAGACAGATTTTCAATAATTTCAGTTAATTTTTTATGCATTGAACCACAGCTAATCCTACAATAACCTCCTTTTTTCTAAAGGGTGTCTTTGGAGGAAGTGCTGCAATGGTCCCAGTCTTTTGAAAAGCTGGTAACAAGTAAATGTAAGTAATTGTATGTCTGTTTCCCAGATGGATTACTGAAAAATTTCTCATGAAGCAAAATCAATAAGTCATGCAGTATAATGTATGCTGGTTTATATGCAACTAATGGAAACCAACTTTGTGTGACATGCTTAGTATGCATCAACCTGAAAATAAATGTAGCTGTAAATGTTTTCCCGAGCTTGCAATTTCTGCAAGGACATGTTCTTTTAAAGACACATAATAGGTTTACCTGCCATATTCCTGCTTAGAACACTGTATAGCAATATATATTAGAAGAAAATGAAAGAAAAGTTGACTTGGAAAATCCTGTGTAAGGCAAAGACACGATACCTAATGGCACAGCTATACAGCATAATGCCTTGGAAGATAACTCAGACCCTCATCTCACATATGGGAGGAACTGTAGCTGCAGTAGCAAATCTGATCTTTCTCACTCCAGCATTCCCCTGTCTCATTCAGGGCTCAGAGCTCTCCCACATTTCTTATAAATTTCTTGTAGAACATCACTATTGAACTACTTTTTAAAAAAACTCTGATGAGAAGCTCATGTACAGAGTTACAGCACAAGCCTCTAAAGATTATTCCTAAGGACATGCATCATTTTCAAACTGCAAATTACAAAAAGCAAGAAGATTAACAGAATTTGTACATTCTATGTACAACTATAAAGAAAAAGATCTCACCATTACAATCTTTACCAATAAACAACCTAATATATTTATATATAATACATATAGCATATAATATAGAATATAGAATATAGAATATAGAATATAGAATATAGAATATAGAATATAGAATATATAAATATAAAGAGTTTTCAGATAAAGCACAGGGAGAAAACACTTGAAAGACAAAATTACAGCACAAGCAGGCAGAGACGCACGCAATCACCCTTTCTGCCAGATGACAAGCAGGGTTTGGAAACATGAAAGCCCAGAGTGCTGCACTAGCAAGAAAGCTTGCATTAAATAAAATGCTGATAGCTTCCAGTAGTACGTGGATGCTGCCCTTCTTAAATACGTCATTCACTGCACTTAGATGTATCTATTACTTGATTTTGAATTCATCTAAATGCTTAACAGAGTCAGAAAGTGCAAAAGTGTAATCAAGTGAAAAACCAGAAACTCTAAAGACAATGGATTTTCAGCTCTCTATGAAAAGTAGGTGAAGTATTTGCCTATCTTAGGCTTCACTCTCAAAGCGCATCTTTGTACTGCAAGTACCATTCTTGCTCAAATGCTAGCACTGAGTGAAGCTTCATAAATGTTCTTCTGTCTAGAGGCATTTTAATGACTCTATCACCTAATTCTGTACAAAGCAAGTCTAATGACACTTTAGGAATTTAATCTTCACCAAGATCTCACTAACTGCTGCTGGCAAACTCCATTGTCAGGTGTTTCAAAGACATCCTCAGGTTCAGAACCACTTATTTGTTAAAGACAGTATTCTTTTAACTGCTTTAATTCACTCTATTACAGCAGCAAGAACATTTATTTCCTTTTTTTTTTTTTTTTGCTAATTGTTTTTTTCTCCAAGTTCTTACACCAAGAAAAGCATGTCTTATTTTATCAGTCAAATCATGATTAAGTCGATGAGAAAATCAACATGAGCCGGCAGTGTGCGCTTGCAACCCAGAAAGGCAACAGTATCCCGGGCTGCATCAAAAGGAGCGTGACCAGGAGGTCGAAGGAGGTGATCCTGCCCTTTTGCTCTGCTCTTGTGAGACCTCACTTGGAGTATTGTGTGCAGTTCTGGTGTCCTCAACATAAAAAGGACATGGAACTGCTGGAACAAGTCCAGAGGAGGGCCACAAGAATGATCAGGGGACTGGAACACCTCCCATATGAAGATAGGCTGAGAAAATTGGGGCTGTTCAGCCTGGAGAAGGCTGCATGGAGACCTCATAGCAGCCTTCCAGTATCTGAAGGGGGCCTGCTGGGGATGGACTCTTCATTAGGGACTGTAGTGACAGGACAAGTGGCAATGGGTTAAAACTTAAACAGGGGAAGTTTAGATTGGATATAAAGAAGAAATTCTTTCCTGTTAGGGGGGTGAGGCACTGGAATAGGTTGTCCAGGGAGGCTGTGAATGCTCCATCCCTGGCAGTGTTCAAGGCCAGGTTGGACTAGGCCTTGGGTGATATGGTTTAGAGGGAGGTGCCCCTGCCAGTGGCAGGCGGATTGGAACTTGATGGTTAAGGTCCTTTCCAACCCTAACTATTCTATGATTATTTGATAATACTTAGGTATCTTCTGTAGAAAACTGGAACTGGAATTTAAAAATACTTGTCAGTCTGGATATGTTTGATAATGTTCACAGAGACCATGAAGAATAAAGTTTTCTGTGTTCTGTCTCTGCATAGTGAAATGCCATTGAAGATAAAGGGAGCTCTGCATGTGCAGCAAAATGCAGTGTTGAGGTGTAGGACTTCAGGGTGAGTTAGAGTGTTTAATTCCCCACTTTAACATAATCTGTTAAGAATATTTATAGGTGTACAACAAGAAATATACTGCATTGTAAACGTCCCTGTTGCCTTCAAAGGACTCTAAAGGTAATGCATATATAATCGTACATAAATTTGGCTTCTGAAATATTTACAGATGGGCCTGTGATTTACAAGACCTACTTGAAGACAGAGCACAGTGATGAAAATATGGAATTCTGGCTTGCTTGTGAAGCTTATAAGAAGATCACATCACAGAGGAAAAGGACTTCCATGGCCAGGAAACTTTTTGCAAGTTACATTCAGCCCCAGGCTCCCAAAGAGGTGACATAATAACACATGCACTTTATCTCCCCAAATAGAAATACCTGATGTGTAATATTGCTTACAAATGCCTAGCACCTCTGGTATCCAGGCAGTGAAAACACTTCTTGTATTACTGAGAGTGAAAACTGTAGCAATTCATCCTCCCAAAACATTTGAACCCAGAATTTTAATACTTGCCTTCACACCTTGACAACAGGTAAATCTTTCAACTATATCCACCAAAGATACAATCAAAAGGCACAACTAGATTAATAACCAAGTTCTTGGATATGTTCTAATCTTTTCAGCATCTGATAAAGCACCCAGTGATATCACTCCAATAGCTTTTGCATCGTGCCATTGTTACAGGTATATAAAACTCTGGTCTTTGTAAGAGTAAATATAAATGGACAAAGTAAAAACTCCACTCAATGCTGTCCCCTTTGTAAAATGGGATAAAATAAAAGTTCCAAGACAGAATTATTTTCTACTTCCAACAATACAAGATTTAGGGAAAACAGAGAAGATGTATATACAAAATGTTTGAGAGTGATTTTATTTTCCTGACGAGAGACTATACAGACATGAGTCTCTCCTGCACAATCAGTCATGCTTTATGACCTTTAACTATTCCAGCTTATTACTTTCCTTGCAAAAAATAAGCTCAATCTGGCTTTACTGTTGCTGCCTCTGGCAGACTGAACATAACTAAAAATCAGGCTGGTTTATGCATGACAATAAAATTATTATGGAATCACAAAATGCAACTTCCCTGTTGACACTGAAGGGAAGCCAAAACCAACTCAGCTGCATCCTCAGATGCTGGCTGAGAGCAATTGCTGTTTTAAATGGCTAAACCATTCCCGCTAATACAAAACTTAAAGAAACTTGAAAGTTCCCTCTGCTGGTTTTAAGTGCCAATTGGCAAGAAAATGCATTTTTTTTGTGGTTTTCTGCTTTATTTTTAGTGTGTGCAGCTATAGGAAACTCAGCAAGACATTTGCATTTCCAAAAAAGAAATGTCAGTATTGTCAACCACAAAATTCATCCATCAAACATACAGGCTTAAATCAGGACATTTAAAAAAAGATGTGTAATTTTTCCTCCCCCCACACAATAGTATGTATTTGGATCTTGCTTAACCTCCTTAAGGCTTGAAGTCTAGGGCCCATTTCCTGCACAGGAGCAAAGCAATGACTTTACCACTACTCTCAAGCCTCCACTGATCACAATAGTCAGGTTTAAGATGGCTTTTCCATTAAGGATGTGGGACAACCTGGGAAATTCAGACAGCTCCCACGCTTCTTGGCCCCAAGGGAGCAAGCTACCCATCCAGCTACTAACATACCTCTTACTAAATCAAACAACAAAAGAAGAACAAATTGGTCAACTAATAAAATGTGATTTTCTGGCAGTATAAGGAGAAATCCACTCTGCTAGAATCAATATTTTTCATTAGGTGCTGATTTGAAAGTAAAGGGTATATGAAAAGATGTAAATAAAAGACATTTAATAAAAGTCCTCTGAATTCAATCTTCCTTACCTTTCCTTTGCATATATTCAGTGATACTTGAGTAATGTTGTTTTCTGTTTCAGATTAACATTGACAGTCCTGCGAGGAAAGCAATTATAAGGAATATTCAAGAGCCAACACAGTCCTGTTTTGAAGAAGCACAGAGAATAATTTACATGCACATGGAAAGAGACTCTTATCCACGATTTCTTGAATCAAAGTTCTACCAAAACCTCAAACACAGCCTTCAAAATAATGGCAGCAATTCAATGGTAAATTAAATAGAAAGGCTGAAAATTTAGAAAGGTTTCTTGTGGCATAAAAATGTTAAAATTTTAAAGTAGACAGAAGAAACTGGGAAGTAGACAAATATTACTACTAATCTGCTCAACTGTTTTATGTTAGAATTGATGAGGCATTGTCTTTCCTCTTCCCTTTATTTTCCCATGGAACAGTTCTGATTTTGTTTTCTTCTCCCATCAATGAAGCCCTAAAAGCTAACAAAAACTAAGTATAAAGAACTTTCCGCTGAAAAGGATTGCCTAAGTTTTTAGTCTTTTATTGATATTTAGAACTCTAATAACATTTTCAGTATTCCTGTTCGGAGAGGCCTGAAATAAAAAAATGATTTTGCTGCTAGGAAAATTCATGTTTGTCCTCACATAATGCAGAAGAAAAAAATATCTGCAGTGCTGCATTGACTTTTTTGTTGTTTTATTCATGTGTTCTTCCAATGTAACGGGTGATACATTATGAAGTACAGCTATTTGCTTAATCTTGAACTATGAAGTGTAGTATTCATACAGAGTAGGGTTTATTTTATGCTGAATTATGATGTGCAACATAATCTAGAGAGATACTTGGTCTATGGTATACTACAATACTACCAGTGTATCCTGAACTTATCTCCAGTGATAAGACTCATTAGTAATTCGTCTTCTTTTTCTGGGCATAGATACCAAAATGTATTTCTTTCCCTTCAGTCACCCTAGTAATTAGATATAAGCAAGCCTGATGTTTGAACATCATACTGTAACACAAACAGGCTCTTTCATGCATAAACTATAAAAGACAACTTACTGATTCATTGAACAAGTATTGAAGGAGCTTGGTTTACATTCAAAAACCAATCTGACTTCTCAAATCTCATGAAAACTGGAATCATTTAATTCTTTTAATGTACATCAGCATAGACACTAAAAGCCATATATATGAGACCTTTCTAGCATACGCTCAAACTGCGTTATTCCAACGAGTATAAAGAGCAAGTAATTCTGACATAAGCCACATAAACCCTGATAGTATCACACTGATCCTCTAGAATGATTTCACAGGAGAAATGAAGTATTTGTTCAGTTGGATACATTTATTTAACTGAGATTACTTCAATCATGTTGCTAGTTTATGCTTCTAAATTACTTTAAGCTGTAACTTGTCTGCCTAGTTTTAAAAGGCAATTTTTGTGAAAATGTCATTGCCTCACCTCTGTTAGGAAAGCCTAGTCTTTCTATGGAAAACTCACACCTGTTCATTTTGCCATTCACCTAACCACAGTAAGTTTTGTTCTCCCTGAGAACTTCCCATGATTTTTCAAAGTGAATGTCTAAGCCTTTTCCTTAAAGGCAACCATGAAGACACAGGTCAGTGCAGACAGTGAACAATTGGGTTTCACTTCTGTGGCATCTATCTTTTAATGAAGAAAAACTATAGTTGTTCTTTTAAAACTTTCCTCTTGACCATGTATTAAGATACTATTTCTGAATATATTTTAAGGAAAAGTCGCAATCCCTCCTGAAAGAATGATCATTGTTTAGGGTCTCTGAGCAGTGGTATTATTGTAGTGTACAGTATAGGTTACATTTGGGAACAGGGGCAGTGATTTGCTGATGACAGATAAATATCTTGGTCAACAGCTTCAAAATGCATAATATGATGCCTAGGTTTGTATGACATTATGTTGGTAAACTTTGATTGTCTATGAGTGCTCTGATGCCAACACATGAACTAGGGTGTAAGTGATCATGTTATAAGTTATCATCAATTTCTAAGGTTACACAAATACTTTTTGCCCATAATTTTAATAAATTTTTTAAGCAAGAATTTATGTTCCTGTCTAAAGCTGAATGCAAAGCAAGTCTGAGCACAATCTACACTACTATAGAAAGCATTAAGGTAACTTCAGTGCTGTAAGAAAAATGATTGTTAGTATAGCAGATAACTCTTTCCTTTTACAATGACCCTGTATAAATGGATTATCATATAACTGTGTGAATTGTCAGCTCATAAAACCACTTTCAGCAAGCAAGGATCCATTGGCAATGCAGCTCTTGCTGCTCTTTAACTGCTGATGTATGTATGTGCAGTGCATGGACTTTGGCTTGATTGACCCTGCAGATGCCACAGCCTCAAAGCAAAGAAAAACTGGAGAAACTACTAAAAAGCAATCCCTGAAGGGAACTATACACATGACAAAAGCCAACCTGAGCAGAAGAAAAAAAGTAAACAAGGGCTATACTATGAAAAGCCTTCCCATTTCTGTTTGGATTAGAAATTCAGAAGGCCTAGGTTCTGGTCTGTGAGTGAAAAGGTCTCTTGACCAAGGATATCTTTCCACATCCAAACAGGCTTCACATGCAGTCTTCTGAAGGGGTTAAACAAAGTGGCTGGTCAGGTAGTGTGCTGATAGACAGAATCCTTCCCCCTGTAAAAATGAGATTATGGGGGGAGGGAAGAAAAAGGAAAAATTCATCCATACAGAATGCTCAGAGAAATCATAGAGGGACCCAGGAACTCATTTTTATGTCGTTAAATATTTAGCATTTATTTTGCTAACAGGTAATGAGTCTAGTAACCATTATTGCTGGCAGGTGCATTCACTTTACATTTCCTTCTAGAAGCTACCCAAAGATTGGTTTTGTGCCTGCGTGCATCCCAATGTTGGAAGACAAGAGGTTCTTTTCCTCAAATAGATTTATTGTTAACTGGTAGAGATCTTGTTCCTGCTTGATTTTTCCTTGGTGTGATGAGATGCACAATGACAGTGTATTTCACCAGATCACATGATTCATAAACCAGTAACTAATGGCAGCAGCAATAACAAATCAATGCTTTTAACATTTTCATTAACAGCAGTTGAACAAGCCCAGGCGTGCTTTCCACTGGCAGGCAACACTAGGGGTATTTGCTCACATTAATCATTCAAAGCTACTCTTAAGATAGATAAAAAAAAAAACTATGAAATGGCTAAATTGGCAGAATTCTCTCTCATTCTTCCCTTGTTTATTTAATGTGAATAAAAAGTTATAACATTAAAACAATAGCAATTTTTCAAACACATTAAATTTGGCAAGATAAAAACTTAGATTAATAAAAACACTATGGCAATTAATTGCATCCAACCATAGAAACTGTTTACCTATTCAGGCTCCCTAAAAGATACTGGACAGATGGTCTGATTTTTTTTGTTTGTTTGCTGTAATTTGGTTGGGTTTTGTTGGGTTGTTTTTTTTTGGGGGGGGGGGGAGGAGGTTTGGTTGTTTGGTTTGTTTTTTTTGGCTGTTGTTTTTGAAAAAGCTGATAATTGGATCATTTTACTTTGTACATATGAGCTGTGTTAGCCTGCTTTCTTGATAAAAGTGACAAAATTCATGCTCTATTTCCTACTCTATTTTTATACTGCTGCTTTCATGACTTCCACATCCAGTCTATGTGTATAGATGATGATAGATGTAGAATAACAAATGCAAATTGTATATCAGGTCTAAAAAAAAAAAGTAAGGATCTGCTTATAATTAGAGCCAGTCAATATAAAACTGTAAAAATAGATTAGCCTGATCTTTTCTGTATAGATGGATGGTAAATGAGAATATATAATGTCTCGCTGTTGTCTGATCAAAAGCCTTCAGAGACTAAGTTGTTTGGAGGCTTTTCTCTCAAGATCTTCCTATTTCTAACTTCCGTATTAACTCTAGATATTTCTGCTTTTAAATCTCAAGAAATAAAAACCAGACAGTCTCACTCTGAGCATAGCAATGAAGTAATATGCAGAACTTCATGCTGTAGACAGCTGATTTAAGCAAATATTATGAACAGAGGCGTTTACAACCAATTACAGCAAAGATAAGGATGTTTAGGAACCTATAGCCTCAGAGAAAAGGGAAATGACTAGCATTTCCAAGTATTGCCAGATATATAGGACTGTTGCAATCACAGGTCCCTTCAGAAACTGATGTTTGGTCTAACGTTCACTAAACACTGAGGAAAGTGCAATGGGAAAAGTCTTTGGGAAAGAACATTTTTCTGCACATGCCAATTACCTGCATTGTGCTGCTACAGACTGTTGCCTTTTCTAGGCAAAGATAATTCAGCATCCTAATACAGGCTTCTCTACAGTGGTCTACAGCAAATCTTCACAGAGAAGGTATCCTCTCTTGGAGCAATTACCCATTTAATAACTTGTCAGTAGCACTGAGCAACTGTACAGCTCTGAATGCTTAGATTTCAAAATCTTATATTTCAAACTAAATAAAATAAAATAAAATTTTAAATTAAATTTCAAAATAGCACTTCTGAATCAGGGGCTGATTAGAATGTACAAAGGATTACAACTTTTTCTTTTTCTTTTTTTTTTTTAATGAAAAAAGAAACAGGTACAACAAAGTAGAGAGAAATAAAGTAAAAACCACACCAAAAGCAAAAGAAGAAAATTACATATTGGAGAAGCAAATCATGCAGCCAAGCACTCTTTACATATTACACATCATGGGTGCACAGATTCTAACTATGACTTCTCATCACACCAGCAGCAAGACATCAGCCTCTGCAGCCAAATTGTGCAATTGTGTTTTTAGACAGAAATGTAAATATAAATTTGTGAGAGCACGATAACATCAGATCATGGATTCTAGTCAGTGCCTTTCTATTGTTTTTTTATGCCTGCGTGTCCTTTTAGAAACAGTGTCATGGAATGAGACATCTTAAAGCATACAGCAAATGGTCAGCATTAAGTACATACACATTCTGTCTTGACTCAGTTGCATAAAGACTTTATAGTATCTAGTCCCCTTGGACTATCTAAAACTTCCCCTGGGGCTGGTAAGTCTGACCAGGTAGATGAACATATTGCACATCGCCTACTGCAGTGGCAAATGGACAGAACAGAGTATCCTGGAGCATCTTAGTAGGACTAGATGCCTGTGCTTACACAACCGAACAAGCCTGCTTTCTTAACTATATTAGCTAAGGCTTTAATAATCGCTAGATTTTTTTATCCACCCCAGGCATCTTATTCACTGAAAAGCTGGCTTTTCTATAATTTGAATTTCCCTCCAAAATTGCTATAAGTTATCCCAAGATGACCATGCTTATACAGAATTTTTTTCTGTCCTACACCTCAGATTTTGCTCAACAAAAAGTACAATACAACTGTCCAGGGAATAAGAGCAGCGCCTTACT